AAATTAGCGCCTTGTAGTGTTCTGTGTATCTTGTCAAATTATAGTTCAGTGTCAATTCGATATCTTTCCTTTAAGTGGATTCTTTCTTACTTAGAGGTAATGTGGAACTGGATGGTAAGGGGAAGTGAATAGAAGGATGCCCCAAATTTTTTAGGACTAGTTCCCCTCCATGTTATAAAGGGGTGTCAGCCTTGTGCACTTGACCCCTCCACGTGTTGAATGAACACACAGAGAGGGAAAGCTGGCCAGGCCTGTCACCTCCATACGATCACCAGCTTGTCTCCATGCATTCCCTCCCTTACTGTGATCAGCAGCATTTGTAAGGCACCACCCCTGAGTGGGGCCAGCACACTTGTGAACACGTTTGGTCAATGAATCAAGGTGTGTACAGGGCTACCATCTATGTATTATTTGTGTGAAATAATCTCAGACCTAGATTTGATTCAGTAATCCTCCCCTTTGTTTGCAAATGCAGGACGGCTTGTTGGAAGTGAAGGACTGGGTGCTGTCCCATGCCTCAGCTTCCAGATTGTGTGGCAAGAGAGTCAGACAGCTAGATAAGGCAGACCAAACTTTCTTCTTGTGTTTACTCTTCTGCCTCCATCCTTTTGACATGTAGAATGGGATTCTCAGGAAGCAACTTCCTTCCGTTCATCCTCTCCCAAAAAACACACTTCTCCTTGCACACACCATGAGGAAGGAGTCGGACACAGTGTCTCCATCTTGGCACCATGATGCAGATGGTCCTCTCACCATCTGCATCCATCCTTAGTAAATTAGATTAGAATACTATCCCTGCCTCTAAACTTTCCTATCTAGAATGTAGTTCCTAAATAAAGAGACTATTATTAGTCTTCAAACAGAAGAGTGGCTCTCTGTAATTCTGTAACTACGCTGGGATACCTGGAACAAAAATGCTGCTGCATGTGTAGCTTAAAGCACTCTACTAAACTAATCAGTGGTAGCTGGACTAACTATACCAGTTATTTTAATAGGGCTTACATCCCTGCCCAACAGCTGCACCATTGGCGGAAAGGAAGGGGAGGGGAGAAATGAAAATAGATACAGAAGATCTGGAAGAAACAAGGAAGAGAAGAAAATAGATATTTATGCTTCCCCAATCTAAGCTCAGGGGCCGTAGTGGCTCAGAGGTTAAGATGCTGAGCTGCAGACTGGAAGGTCGGTAGCTTGACAGTTCGAGACCCGAGTGCCACATGACGGAGTGAGCTCCCGTCTCTGGCCCCAGCTCCTGCCAACCTAGCAGTTCGAAAGCAAGAAATTGCAAGTAGACAAATAGGTACTGCTTCCATGGGAAGGTAACAGTGTTCCGTGTGCCTTGGTGTTTAGTCATGCCGGCCACATGACCACGGAAATGTCTTCACACAGCGCTGGCTCTTTGGCTTGGAAATGGAGATGAGCACCGCCCCCTAGAGTTGGATTTGACTGGCTTTTGAGCAAGGGAAACCTTTTACCTTTTAATCTAAGCTGGGGAAACCAGGACTCTGAAGAGGTGACATAGAAATATTATGAATAAATAAAATAAACACCACCACCCCATCCTCCTGGAACCTGCAATGTTCACACTAAACCAGCAAAAATGAAAAACATGGGAAGAAAACTCAACTCCAAACAGCAGACTGAAGCTTGAGACAAAGAATAAACAACACTGCTCAGGGAATATAGGAAACCACAGTCCTCAGTTAGCAAGACATGAGTGAGGCTGACAACAATAAGATGCTTTGGAGGTTGTTAATTCACAGGGTCACCATGAACTGGAAAAGACTTGATGGCCCGTAAAAAAATACACAAGGAAGATACAATTCTGACAAAAACTCATCCGAAAGCCTGAAAGGTATGTGGTATATAAACTGCCCTGACTGAAGAAAGCTGTGAATGACTCATTCAACGGGACCAACGGTGTTTTAGCAAAAACAATAAAAATAAAAATCAGCTTACCTAAAAGAAAGACATGTATACAATCCCATAAAACTCCTTTTTTGAATGACCCATTATCAGGGAAAATTTTCAATATACAACACTATTTGTTAAAATGGTGCTTTTCACAATGCAAAAACCTTCCAACTGGCACATCCCAGTGTATCACTAAACAGTAGCATAAAACCTAACCAATTTGTGATTCGCTCAGTAAGCATGCGGACATCTCACCCTTAAAGCAACACATCTTTCTGTGTTTTTTTTAATCGTTTGTCTCAACCTTTGGATTACTCGGTCTGAGGACCTTCACACCCACTCCAAATTGTGCACAGGTTTATGAGGTCTCCAGTATTGGCTTCACTTGGGCTCCCCTGTTGGAGTCCACAATGTCTTCCATTGATGGTTGCTTACCATCAGGCTAGGATAGCCAACTCCAGCTTGGGAAATTCCTGGAGAGTTGTGGTGGAGTCTGGGGAGAGGAAGTAGCTCCTCGGGAATGTGATGTCACTCTGACTTCTGTTTCTCTCTGAAGTTGCCATTTCTTCCATGGGAACTGAACTCATGTCTGCATTTAATTTGTAATTCTGGGAGCACTCCAGGTCCCACCTTGAGGTTGGCAACCCTACACCAGACCCATGCTGATGCCACCTGTTCTGACACACTGGGTCCCAGCTGGGCTGGAGAGGTACTGCAGCCTGCCTTGGAGCTAATGAGCATGGCATGAAAGGAGGCACAAATCTCCACCCCCTTTGCTATTACCAGGTTCCAAGATGGGCTGCAGAACATTTCTCCAGCCTTCCTTGAAGCCCATGTGGACAGCTTGGGAGGAGTCATTCCTTCTGCCTCCATTCGGCTCCAAAATGGGAAGCCCTGGCAGGGGGTGGCACAGGAGAGGATTGCTGGGGATAGAAAACTGTATTGTAGCAGGGCTTTTCTTATGTTCCTTTGGCAGTAGAGGAGGAGGAGGAGGCATGGATTAAACTGCTTCTGCATGTTTTCTGATTTAGTTGAAATAGTAAAAAAGCCAGTTGCAGAATGAGTATATTGACTAGCACCGGTATATTAAGTGGTACCTATTTATCTACTTGCAATTTCTTGCTTTCGAACTGCTAGGTTGGCAGGAGCTGGAACTAGAGACAGGAGCTCACTCCGTCATGCGGCACACTCGGGTCTCGACTTTCCACAGCCTGCAGTTCAGCGTCTTAACCACTTGAGCCACCGCAGCTCCTAAAAGATCCTTATGTCCCTACAAAAAGATCCTTATGTCCCTACAAAAAACCCCAAGCAAACAGGTGGCTGGTCCACTTGATCATGAGAAACAGTATCCCTGGTCACAAGTTGGAAGCTCTGTTCAGATATTACAATGAATCCTTCATGTACTTGTGTATATCTGTTTGTAAGAAAGAGCCAACATGCATTCACTTTGCAATGCGGATAAGTATCCGTATACTTGTGAGGTTTCTATCGCATGTTCAACTGTATGTGCCTTGAACGTAACATGACAATTACTCCACAAAGAAAAAGCAAGTGTACACAGTACATGGATTGCGCATTCACTGAAGCTTGCCAACAGGGCTTTTGTGTACAGTGTACACTTGATTGTTCTTAGTGTGTGTGTTGAATACTTCTCATGGTATGCTCAACACATGTATAGATGAATGTGTGATACAAACCACACATTTATCCAGGTACTAGTCCCTGGTTTCAATTGCAAAGCAAATATGCCTTGGCTCTCTTACAGACAGATAGACACACATACATACATGTGTTAATTGTAACTTGTGACCCCAACATATGTACTGGTATCTCTCATACCTCTGAACTGTTTCTATTTACCAGGGATTGTAGGAGGACACCATATAGTGGCATAGGATATACTGGTTAATGACTTTCTACATTTTGTTCCTAATTTTGATCCTATTTTGGGGGGAGGGAACCTTCTGAATCTTTTGTTAGCTGATGTGCTAGAGATGTCCTTCTACACAGGTTAACGTCTTCCCCAGGGTCCCTAGAATTTTAACCTCTTGCATGGGAAATGGATGCATTTCGTCTGAAGGGTACACAAGGCACATACCATTATGCAACCAAAGCACCATGCAGAATGTACAACCTCTTGATTCACACCCTGTAGCTTTTGAGGAGTATTTGGAGCTATTGGGCTATAATTATGATTCTTTAGTACGTCTTTAGCTGAGACCTGGATAGCCTAGGCTAGCTCAATCTCCTCAGTTCTCAGAAACTAAGCAGGGTCAGCCCTGGTCATTATTTGGATGGGAGACCACCAAGGAATATGAATGTCAGAGGCAGGCAATGGCAAACCACCTCTAACATCTCTTGCCTTGAAAACCCATAGGGTCCCCATAAGTCAGTTGCGTCTTGGAGGCCTAAAGAAAAGAAGTATGTCTTTAAGCAACAGAACACACAGACTGTCTTTGCTTTTAAATCTGTTCAGGAAGGTCCGCTGGAGCATAAATGAATGCAGCAGGTAGATCAGAGCCTTTAATCATGTGTAATAACAGGGAGACGGAAGCACAGAGGACCTTAGGCAATAGTCCTGGACTGGTTATGAAAATAGGGGTGTTACAAGCATGCCCTTATTTCCATTTGCAAAATACAGGAGGGTATAGCCTGTCTCTCTGTCATACTGGCTGTAAAGCCAGATTCTCACAACAGGTGAAGCATCTTTTATGAATGCTCTTAGATCTTACATCCGTCTTCACACAGCACCTTCTTCGCTTCCCTTAATGGTACCCAGTTGCTCTTTTCAAGATATAGCAACATCCAATATTTTGAGTCCTTGATCCTTCTATGTTCAAATGCTGGTGGTTTTACTTCTGCTAAGAAGAATGATGTTATGCCTGTTTGCTCTGAAGTGTTTTCCACTCCCCAGGAAAGGAGAAGTGAGATCCTTCTGTCTCAGAATTGACATTTTGTGAATTTTCCTTGGAAATTGTCGGGGTAGTAACGAAATGTTCCCTGGAATTTCCTGTTGTGTGTTTGTGTGGGGGACAGGGAGCATATATATCACACATCTGCATCCCCTAAAGCCACACTCTCCAGCTTCTTGAGGGAGGGAGGCAGGATAGCAGCAGAGAAGACACCCATCAGAAGACACCATGACTCCTCTGAAGACATCTGTCCTGATCTTCCTAATTCTGGGTGTTTTCTGTCAGTGCATAACAGGTCAGTAAATGCCACTTTCTCCTATGTTTCTTTCCCCCCGCACTGTATAATATTCGTTGCGTGACAAGGGCATCCTGTATGTAGAGAGCATCAACTTGGCATGCAGAAGATCCAGACTCCAACGGCCAGCATTTCCAATGTAGCAGGGCCAGCATGAACTTTGCCTTGGAGAACCACCACCATTCTAGGGAACCAATAGGTGGCTAGCTCCATGGACCAATGGTCTGATGCTACCTTGCAGCTTCGTAGTAGTTGGGAGGACCCAGAGCTCCACAGAAGAGGAAACATTTTGCGTGGAGAAGGTTCAAGTGCCAGTTAAAGAATCTTAGCTAAGCGGGCTGGGAAAAGACCTTCCTGCCTGAGGAACTGAGGAGCTACAGGTAGTCAGAACAGAGAGTGCTTAGGAAGGTGGTCCACTGTTTGATTGAAGGGACCATCTGTGTGCTCCTGAGCAGAGCTATACCCTTCTAAGCCTACTGAGTACAATGGATTTTAGAAGGATGTAGCTCTTCTTAGGACCTCACAGCCTAATTCAGAGCACATTCCTTGCCTACACAAGGTCCTAGGTTTAGTCCAAGAATCTTCCATAGCATGGTTGGGAGAGAGTTTTTCAAGAGCACATCAGATAGAATTCAGGTAGGCTTGCCAAGGAAGGCAACAAACAGATTGCAGGCAGGACTGAGTATGTATGTGCGAGGGGACCCTATCCTGCTCCAGTGTCCTTAACAGCAGCTGGAGGTGCCGAGCAACTTTTCACAGCCAGAAGATTAAATGCAATTGCTTGCTAAGGTCTTTGCACTTAGTTGCTGTTCACGGTGCAGCCACAAGTGTACGAGTGCAAAACTGGGAACTCTACATGCAGAGAAAGCAACATTCCCAGTGAGTCTGAGTGTGTGAGGCACAGGAGAGCTCACTTTATGACCAGGTCATCATGCACAGCGGGGCCACTGAGCTGAACTCTACATGATGAAGCTGCCTTATACTGAACCAGACCCTTGGTCCATCAAGGTCAGTGTTGTCTACTCAGACTGGCCGTCGCTCCCCAGGGTCTCAGGCAGAGGCCTTTCACCTCATTTATTGCCTAGTTCCTTTTTAAACTGGAGATGGCATGAATTGACCCTGGGACCTTTTGAGAGCCAGTTTGGTGTAGTGGTTAAAAGTGGTGGACTCTAATCTGGGAGAACTAGGTTTGATTCCCCACTCCTCCACATGCAGCCAGCTGGGTGGCCTTGTGTCAGTCACAGTTCTCTCACAAGCAGTCCTCAAAAGAGCTCTCTTAGCCCCACTCACCTCACAGAGTGTCTGTTGTGGGGAGGGGAAGAGGAGAATGTAAGCAACTCTGAGACTCTGAGTGAAGGGCGGGTCTCTTCTTCTTCTTCTTCTTCTTCTTCTTCTTCTTCTTCTTCTTCTTCTTCTTCTTCTTCTTCTTCTTCTTCTTCTTCTTCTTCTTCTTCCTCTCCCTCTCCCTCTCCCTCTCCCTCTCCCTCTCCCTCTCCTTCCTCCTCCTCCTCCTCCAAACAGAGGCTCTACCACTGAGCCACAGTCCTCCCTCAAAAGCTACCATTCTTTTTTTGCTTGCATTCTCCAAAGACCCAGTGGATCTTACCTCCGAGTAGACAAGCCTAAGAAGTGTACACATTGCATTGATTTGTTTATTTCCCGCTTTCCTCCCCTACGGGGACAGAAGGCAGCTTAGAACACTGTTTTTCCTTCCTCCGTTTTCTTCTCACAACAACAACCCTATGAGGCGGGTTAGGCTGAGAGAGTTTGTGGCTCCAGGTCACCCAGCGAGCTTCCGTGGCAGAACGGGGATTCGAACTGGGTCGTCCAGGATTCTCGCCTGACACTCTCTCCGCTATTCCACACTGTCTGTCTTTGAAAATAAGCCCTAACGCTTTCTTCTGCTTCTCTCCCAGCATTTTATCCCAGCCGTTCCAAGGAATGCTGCTACTCCTATAAGAGAGGCGGCCCCCTTCCTGTTCCACTGATAGCGAAATACTACAAGACTCCCAGCGACTGTGCCTTGGACGCTGTGGTGTAAGTACAGAGTATGGCTCCCCTGCTCCGATCATGTATTTCTCTGATGTCTAGCCAAGGGCACGCTCACGTGGCCGGATTTTGGGGGGAGGCCTGCAAAAGTGTTCTCATTTAGTCAGCTACATTTGATGAAATCTCCCAGATAACTCCTATTGTGATGCATATGGATTCCCTCCCTCGCCTGCCATAAGGGGTCGCTGGAACATCGTTTCTGTGTCTCAAATGACGTCCTTGCCTGTACTGGACACGGATGTCTCTCTGTGTCGGTGTCAGGGGCAGGGGGGGGCAATGAGGGGAGAATGTAGGTCCCCTTGCAGGTTGGTGGGCAAACAAGGATTAGCTAAAATGTGTGCAAGTCTGTTTCCAAAGGGCTTTTCAGTGCTGCTCTCCCAAAGATGGCAACCCTTCCCAGGTG